TAACGGTCGCTCCATGTTGAAGATAGGGCCTTGTACAAGGCCCATTTTCAAATGAAGGGAACGAATTTCTTCAACACCAAGAGGTCGCGGGGGTTGCAACCTAGATAGATAGTGGTTTCTGAACCTCGCCGCAAACTTGGCTATCTCAACTCAAACCCCATGTTAAAGGTGGGATAGTCCCTTTAACTGCACAAAAATTTGCGAAGCTCAGTTGGGCAACGGCTGGCTGATGATTGCATGTTTTTTATTTGCTGCTTTCAAAGAATATTTTGGTATCAAAACATTGTAAATATAGAAGAAGGCATGTAATTTTTGCGTCCCTTGCTATAGTCGTGGTACATTAACATGCGTGTACTGTGTCCCAAACACTTTGTTTCAGGGTGTAGTTTTATGGCTAACAAATTGTACTGATTTAATGTTACTTCGGTACTTTGGGGTAAGATGCCCCCTGTCCTGATGGGGAAAGACGCCCCCCTAAATCCGTAGGCTGTCCTTCAAGCAGCCCGTCAAATCATTTATTACATACTTGTGATGAGAGACAAAAGCCGATCTGGGACTATTGAGAGTCCAGTACGGTCGGGTGCTCCCCATGCCGGTCTCTCGGCACACACAGCGACTTTTTGGGCGGCATCTGACTCTGAGAGCCCTCACGACGGCCTCTGTGGGCCCCATTATTGGCTCCAGGGCCCCTTACGACATCCTTTGAGGGCTCCCACGTTGGCTCCACGGGCCGGGCTGGCATCTGAGGTCCCCACGATGGGCTCGAGGGCCCTCAAGCATAATAAAGACCTATAAGGGCCCCACAGTGGTCTCCGAACGCCACCACGGAGGCTTGTTTGGCCGCGCTGGACTATGATGGCCCTAACGATGACCTCTGAAGCCCCTTACGACTACTTTTGAGGGCCCTTACGATGACGTTTGGTGTCTACTGCAGGCTCGAAGGGACTACTGATTCGTTCAGGCGATTCACGTGCCCATTTATGTCACTTATAGTGCAGGGGGCATCTTCCCCAACGCCAGGGGGCGTCTTTCCCACCCTGTGGGGTAAGATGCCCCCTTTCACTTCTTTAGGGAAATGCTTAATAGCAAAAAAAGTTATCATATTTCAGGCACGAAAGTGTGATATTTTTGGAGAAAAATGATGTCGGCTTCCGTTGAAACTCCAAGTTTTTGCTTTCCGATCGTCATTTTCGAATAATATATGACATAGTAAAACCCTGGGCATCTTTCCCCACTCTCCCCTACTTTCCAGGTATCAAATATAGGTTTCACCGCGAAAGCTCCGTCGTGAAAACGGCCACAGTCATTACCAAACCGCACCTATTGGTAAGTTAATGCTTATAACCTTATTATATAGTGGAAGGTTGAAGGAGGACATGTACAAAAAAGTCGTAAGTTCGAGATATGGGCATGTTGCAATAATGCACACATGCCCAGGGTTCAGTTTCATTAAATGCAGCCGCGAGCCGCGGCATCCATGATTTATGCATGCCCTAACATCTTTGGCATGCCACATCGCCTTGCTAGCGAGGTACGTTCAACTTTACATATTGCTAGAAATATGTAACCATCATTGTCTGATAAGAACGTCTCATTTAGCATCATCTATGCATTGCAACGCAATGTTCACACATTCAAACAGTATAGTTATGACGTTTAATGTTCTATAGTGCACTTGGTGCTCTTCCTGATCAGAGGCCTCTTGCACCAAAATCCTCTTGCACCAATGCTTGGATTATTTTGCATCGTATACCCAGTCCAAGTCTCAAATGTAACAATTTGAGTGCAAAATTTAGCAAGCACATGTAGGATTATGTATTGGGCTATTGCAAACAAATTTACCACCGCTAGATTAGCTTATTCTGAAACCGGTTTTTCGATTTTACCTAGCTAGGTAGTTTGGTGCAAGAGGCCTCAGAACTGTACACAGGGGTCATAGAGATCACAAGGGGCGTACAAAGCAAAACTGTCTGATAAAGATGTATACGATGTACATAGAAATTTCGCTCCATTAGCGTAGTTATACCAAGCTGGGGTCAGTCAAGGTAATTATCAGTAAAACTGACGAGTGACTATAAAATTGGTACGAAAAGGCACGAATATGCACGAACTATGTGTTCCATCATGTTTCGGTACTTTTATAGTGAAGTTTGACCTCGTACCTACGAAATATTCTCATAAATGGCTTCGATAAAAAGATTCACAATTTTTAACAATATGCAGGACAGGTATAATCCCTAAGGTAAAACATTTGCTACAGCGTGAAACACATCGTTCAGTTCTTCTCCCTTTTATCGCGGAGGTGCTTTATGGATTTACGAGTACGAGGCTGATGTGTTCGGCCTAGCCGAGATGGCTTCCAACCATGTTTTGCACATTATAGGTTGAGGAGTATTCAACGTTCGTAGCTGTTCAACGTTGATCATAGTTTTAAGCATAGTTTCATTTGTTGCACTAAGTGATTTACAGTGAAGTAGTCGTGACCTCTGGAAGTTCTAAATATTGTTACGAGTGTGAAGTGTATCGTAAAACATTGGTCTTGTAAATGTATTGTATAGGAAGTCTGCCTACATTTATACGCATCCAATGACCAATCTATCAGCTTAGCTATTGAGTATGGGTATTCACGGTATGAACTACATGCACAAGCGTCGATAGCGGCCATACCTCGGCACAGGATTCATGAGGTGCAAGACACGGCGGCGAAAAGTGGAGCTAATTGCCAATAAATCGCTGATAAACTGTTGAAGTCTGCTTGAAAAGGCAAGAACATCTAACATTCGTGATTTATTTGTACCTACTTTGCATTTTGCCGGCGCATGTCCAACCTAAACGGCATGAATACCAACAAACCGACTGCAATATAAAGAGCCATAGACCACTATATATACCATAGGTATAGTGGCACTGAACTCTATAATGTGGAATGCGCATCGGCCGCCAGATGGTGTCCAACGGTGCCGCCATATTGCGCAGACCAGGAAGCGGCCGCCGCCTGTGTTGGGGAATAGGGAATTCGGGACCTCGATTTACGTTTGCGGTCGCTGCATCCGTTACGTTCAAGCTATGTGGCCACGGAACCCGGCATCTTACGCAGAATTGAGTGGAGAATAAGATGAAATCCTAAAAACTTCTCAGATACAAGGAACTAATACGTTAAGCCCTTATAAGTCAATGGGGAAATATGAAAATTGCTATTTTGGCGCCGAGAATGATCTGAAACTATCTCAAGCATATACAATCATGATTTCATGCACTCCTTGCAAGGTTCTATGCTTCATATTTGCATTGTTGCCCTTGCGTGACGTCATTTGTGACGTCACAAGGGTCACAGTTTTTCTTCAATAAGTCCCGATCAAATTGAGCTAGCGAGTCGGGAAAGCCACCAATGGACTCAGGAAGACCTGCCGAATCGAATGATATGCGACATGACCTCTATCGACCAATTTCGTGACCTGGCGGTGCTGACCTGACCTTGACCTGAGGTCAACACCCTAAGTTGACCTGACCCGAACATTAAGTATATCACTCGATGCGCCTGAGCTAGCTGAACACGATGATGCCAAAATCGCGGCTCTACGGCCATTTTTGGCGAAGTTATTTACCAAAAACCGAACCCGTGCCTTAGATCACTTGACCTGACCTCAGAGGTCCCCGGTTGACCCGGGACCTTTACAGTGGGTTCCTACCAGTCACTCTGCATTATCCTTTGTCGCAAACGACCAATTTACCGCTTAATTCTAGTTTAATTAGCGGCACTTAGCGAGGTGGGTTCAATCAACCCCCTCGGCCGGGGCAAATGTAGGTCCGGCGAGTGAATTTGAGGAATTCTGAAGATACGATCGTGTTCCCCACTCAATTCTGCGTAAGATGCCGGGTTCCGTATCTACGTAACTTGAACGTAACGGATGCGGCGGCCGCAAACGTAAATCGAGGTCCCGAATTCCCTATTCCTCAACACAGGCGGCAGCCGTTTCTTGGTCTGCGCAATATGGCCGCCACCGTTAGACACTACGGCCAATAGGGTTCAAGCGGCATTGCTCCCCTGTGTATAGTGGTCTATGAAAGAGCATTTTCACTACGTAAACGGCGCGACACTTATCATTTTAAACTTACCTTAAACTTAAAGGAAGGGTGCCACCTTCCGAAATTTTTGTTCTATGAATCTATTTTACTTATTTGAATTTTTAGACGTGGTTAGCGCGTCCACAATATACAAAAAACCGAAACATTGCATTTAATACATTGGCCAAAAAAAAAAGATCGTTGTTTATATCACCACTACAACTCAAGGTCGTTTGATGTGGCAGCTAGGACGGCTGGCATATCCTGTTGTCATGGCAACATATCATTCTGCCATTTGCATTGATGGCGCAAGTGAGACAAAAAGATGAACAAATAAAAAGGAAGAAGATAACATGATTTGAACTAAGTTGTAGTAAGTAAGTTGAACTAAGTAAGATACGTCAAAAGAACATCAAATAAGTCGAGTAAAGGTTTTTCCTTTACAATGCTTAAGAGATCTATGGAACCCTTCACCCTTCATGCAACTTACTAGAAAAACTTCCCAATTAAAATTTTAAAACTTAAGTGTATACCATAAAGAAAAAATATACCCTTTCAAAATGATAAAACATGCTTCAAAAGTATAACTTTTATACATACCTTTGCTGATTTCATGTTTTATAAAATACCCTTAACACGACGAGGAAATAGTGCTGAAGATTTTTGCCTGCCCGAATGCTGGCAGCAAAACTCGCAAATGATAACTTCACTTGCGGATTCAATGCTGACCGTCTCGAGCATAGGTAAGTGAAGCCGGTTTTTAGGTTCATGTGAGGCTAATCTTGTAAAAACTGCGTTGTGTCCAAAAGGTGGCACCCTTCCTTTAAAAGTTTGCATCATTATGTGACCTAGAACGTGGTTTTCTCATTAGAGTGCGATGCCGTTGCCAAATATCACGTTTCGTATTCAACCGAAGCCCAAAAATCAAGTTACCCTTGCCAAAACAGATGCAAGGGACAAGTACACGAACGGAGTGCGCATTAGACGCACTGAATGTGCTCGTTTGTGGCATTATTTTGCGTCTTTTCAGAAAATATCAAAAGGATGAGTGCTGCATTAATGTTCTGTTAGGCATCAATAAAAAAGAAAACACCAAGTTCAAAGTTCACAGGAAAACAGTCAATACCGTCACCTACTTACCACATCAAAGACGACTTCGTACTTCAGAGAGCATTAAGTAGACTTTCTTTTGTGCGACACGGTAGCAAAATTTATTTTGTGGTGTGTCAAGAAAATACTCGCAGAACGAATACTGAACAGCACAACGGTCACAGCTCCGCACCGGTTACTAATGCTTCGTGCAACTAGATCAGCATCCTGAAGACCACTCGTGCCATCTACCCTCGACATGAGCACCGAGTGTGGTCCGTGGCGCTCCTGCGACTTCCACCAGTACCGCTCGTGGCTGAGGAAGCCGGACAGTGCGTCGTCCACCTCGTCCATCTCGCCTGACAAGGACAAACTAAAAACCAAAAAGTGAGTACACACTTTTGGCCCATGCTTTTTATGAATATGGAAGTGGACAAACTTAGTCGAAATTGCGAGCGTAAAATGAGCTTAATGATATTGCCTAATTGTAATTTCTTCCCCGAATCAACTAATGTTAATTCAACTGAATCAGATCTGACATCGGTACACATTAAGTCCAGAAAACCAAGAATAATAACGGCATGAGGATAACAACGTCCATCACGAAACAGAAACCACGTTGTAGAACAAATTTGTTATAGGTTCCTATTCATGGCTGAAACGGTGAAATACGATAGCAATAAGCACTAAATTTGCACCATGATTGAAATTGACGAAACCCTTTTCAAAACCTATGCCAGTTCATTATCTTCAGAAAACCCGCTTTAAGTAATGTCAGCTGACTGAATAGGTAACACTCGTGTTTGTGACATTACAATTAATTGCACCGATTACTCTCCAGTCTATTCCGGACATCACTCTACTTAGGCTATTATACTGCATTGTGCAGAATAATAGGTAAAGTAATTGATTTACTGATATCATGGATGAGGGACTATTACACCAGTTGTCCATGTTTGGCTTATCAGGCGGTTGTCCATACATTAACATTTCGACGACAGCACATTTAATGACGGCATTAAATGACGGCGGTGCCCGCCGCTGAAGCCACCCTGAATGACGCTGCTATCGGTGTGCCTTGTGACGCTGTGACGTGGCGTGGCGCCCGCAGGCTGCGGCGGCGGCCGGCGGCCGGCGAGTACCAGCTGACCTTCCGTCACCACACGGACCCGGCAGAGTACGAGCGCGACTACCTGACCCAGGTCACGCACGCCCGCTGCCGCGCCGCCAACCCCTCTGCCTCGCTGCTGGCTACGGTACTGCTCCGCGATGCTAGCGCCACCCTCGCCGGGTGCGTTCGGAATAGATGTCGCGACCGCAGGGTGTTCGCTGCTTTTTCAGCTATAACGCGACAATCGACACACCGTATAACGCGTTATTGGAAAGATTGCCAGATACCTGTCAGAACTGTTTGAAGTGAAACTGCTGTAAATTTTTGATATTGTTGTAAATTTTTGATATTTGATTTAACTGGTAAAAGCATAAGTTGAACATACAAATCTAACACATACCTACGTTAAACATGCAGATAATGATGTTTAGCTGAAACGACCTGCCACAATGCATATTTTTTCGCCTTGACTTTTAAAAAAGGTGCTAATTTAATTTGCTAAAATGATCAGTGGGCTCCAATTTGTTGTTGCTGTACCAGCAGAAATTATTGATCCCTGCGTCTTTTCCAGGAGCTGACATCCACGCAGTCATCGGCCAGTTCCGACCGCTCAGTGGTGCAGCTGCTGCCTCCGCGACCCTGCGCGTCCGACGAGAGCCGGCCTCTGTCTCCCGCTCCTGCTGCGGCTCCTGCTCCGGCTCCGGCTCCCGCTCCTGCTCGGTGTGCGGCTCCCAGTGCCGCTCCTGCCGCCACGCCGGCGGTGCAGGACACGGCCTCCACCCCCGACCTGTCTTCCGGCTCCGGGACACCCCTGCCGCGGCCGACGCCGCCCTCCTCCTCTCCGGACCTGTGCCACCTGCCCCAGATCGGCGCCGTGCCGCGCCCGGTGCGGCGCCGCTCGCTGCCGCCCAGCGCCACGGCCTCCTCCCTGGCCGGGGTGGCCGCCGGCCCCGCCGGCCCCGCCGCCGCCATGGCCGCCTACCGTCGACCGGTGGCGGGCACGCCGCGACACACGGCCGGCCCGCCGGCGGCGCGACACGCCCGCTCCGTGTCGGTGCAGCGCGACCCGACCGAGCCGGCGGTAACGACGGCGGCGGCGGCGCTGAGACAGCCGCGTCGCCAGCCGTCCACGCCACACACCGTCACACTCGACCTGCACAGCCCGCCCGGCTTCGGAGGCATGGCGCAGGCGCGCAAGAACGGCTACAAGCCGCGCGGCCTGACCAAAATTCAGCTGGCCTCTTCCGTGCCGGAGAACCTCACCATTATAGTCGGCACGAAGCTGGAGATCAGCCTGAGCGGCACCAAGAGGGGGCGCCAGAGGGGCAAGACGTTCCGCTGAAATTGGTCTCATCGAAAAGAGAAATGTTGACAAATGTTGCTCATCTCTAATGGCCATCACTTTGAGGCCGAGCGGTTAGTCTGCAAAGGTGTGGTCCGTGGTCGGAAGCTAATTCCAGCGTTCAGTCCGACATTGCGTGGAACAACGAGCAGCTGAATGTCAGACGCATTGTTGAATTTCGCAGCATGACTCACAGAATCCATTGGACAGGTGATAAGCCTTGGATGAGAAGAAATTAAGGCTGAGATTCTGAAAGGCGACAGAAGTGCGAACACATTACGGTAGGCACCGGTTGTAGATAGGAGAACGACAGCTGTGACACTGCAGAAGGCGGATCATAGCTCCGATACGAAGCGACGAAATTTTTCGAAAGTTCGAAATTTCGAAAGGCTAACATTGTTTTTTTAATTCGTTATATTAGATACGTAATATTGGAATTGGTTCATATACCTAATATAATTGAAAGAATGAAAAGAAATTGGTTCTGTGACTTAAGTAAAAGGTTAGAGGTAAAAAAGTTTTATTAATAAAAACATGATCTTTTTGTACAGATATTGCCGTCGTCTGTCGTCTTTTCCCTTAGCCAGTCAGGAGAGCAGGCTGCATTGCAATTGCCTCCCCCGTTGCCACGGACCAATTTTACACGGTGTAGGGGAGACCGGGGTCAATTGTAACCGTTTTTGCATTTTATCATCCGGTGCAATCACGTTTGCAGTTATGAAGCTCTTTCTTTTATTTTCAGAAACTATGCTGCTTTGTCTTTTAAATGCAGTTAAAACATTTCCGAAATAGCATCTTTTCGGGTCAAAATTGTGGTCCTAAAATGCCAGTTCATCTGTTACAATTCACCTCAGATAATGGGTCGAACGTAACGCCACCCGGGGACAATTGTAACTTACAGGTTACAGAAGGGCAATATTTTCAAAAACTTCTATTCGATTAAGTGTAATACATGTTCATTGCTCATCTCCTCAGACATGGTAGGTACGGCTCTTTTCAGAAAAAAAAACTTTAACCTTGCTTTTATACGGGGTTGGATGGATCTCATCTCCCTCGGGTTTTCGCAAATAAATTGCGTAAAAAGCTGCCGTTTGTGACAAAACTTACAGTACTGTTAATTAATTCGAGCAATGCCTTGAAAATTTGATGACCTTGACCTAATGACCTTTTACCTATTTCATTTTTGTGCGTTTATTTCTGTTTTGTAGGAAAGGCGCTTTGATTAAAAGTTAAAACATTTTGCTTTTGCGCCGATCCGCGATTATTTTCTCCGATGTTTCTTGTCCTTGGTTACCAAAATATACTGAACTGAGCTGAATAACCTGTTACATTTGCCCCTGCGAGAGTGTTACGATTGTCTCCGTCGCGCCGTGACATTTTGTAGACGAAACTGGCGCAAAAAGATGTTGCATGGACAGAATCTAATGCTTTCAATTTATGGGCAACAAGCCTGCCAACGCTTACACAGTCTGAATTCGATATCTTTTCAATTGCGCGAATGAGCTATTCAAATATAACGGTGTAAAAATTACAAAATGCTCTAAAAAGCACACAACTGTGCTTGACCATGACCTAATGACCATTGAGATGGGAAAGGCAGTATAGAATAACGCATTTTCGGTCTTAACATCAGCTCATTCTATTGGTATAAGTTTATGCCTATAAACACTTATGTCAGTTACAATTGCCCCGTATTGCATTTGACCCCGCTCTACTACACCAAAAACGGTGGGATTGTTACAAACTTGTTCAAAAAGCTAGCCGACTAAGCTCCATGGTGTGTCGTTTCGGGAACTAGCGAATGAAGTTTAGTACCGCCGTTCACCGGTGGATGGCGCTAGCTGGTAGTTTCGGCGAAAACTCCGTCTGAGATGTTTGAAGGCTTCCCTCAATCCCTTGTTCAAACATGGACCCCGTCAGCCCGGCAGAGGTATTTGTCCAGTGTACACCGCACCTGAGGACGGGTCAGCTGAGGGAGGGGAGTCACTATTGTTGGCCTGTGGAATGCCGCGCCGGTCGGGGGACGGGCCGTCGGGAGGAGGGGAGGGGAAGGCAGCGCCGTTCTTGCGGTGACGGGCTGACTTGTCGCCTGGCTACGCTCAGTCGGCGAGGCGCTGTGCATGACCCGGGAGCAGCTGAGAGTCCATATAGACAATTGGCCCGTTTGTAAGCACGAACACTTGGAATATTGCTGGTGCAGAATTTTAGCATAGGAGCGATTTTTTTTGTGCCAAATTTTGTGTGGGTAGGTACATGTAGGGAATTGATATAGAAGTTTATTGTGACAAAGCTTCCAAAAAAAAGGTCCAATTTTTTAGATATCGTGGTTTTAGTGATGTCATGATTTAAGTTTTCGACAAAAAACGACACATGTTTGAAAAATTATAGGTATAAAATCACAAACTAGACATACCTACAGACATGCCGTAAACGTCATTGGACTGCCAATAGGTACCATGAACAATCAAATTAACATCTTCAATTTTTGATTATCTATCGTTCTACGGTTTCCAAAATCTTGAACGGAATCTTGGCAATTTCTCGTGACTACTTCACGACCATGATGCATGCATTTCATAACCCGCATCCCGCTGGGGGTCCTGGAATTACACGCCCTGCTGGTGGGCGGGGTGTTTGAACACCCGATTTTAACTTGGCTCCTGGGCCATGTAGCGATACGGGGAAAGCGACGTTCGAAAAAGCGTCAGGAATAATGGCGAAATTAGTTAGGTCACTTTTTCGGTCAGATCAAAGGTCAAGTCACCAGAGGCGTTTCGGACCCATGTTGCTGAAAGCCCAATTTCATGTGTTTGACCTGACCTTGACCCGACCTGTGACCTTGAAATTCAACTTTCAGGTACTCATCGGAAGTGCCTCGTCGCGTTCTTTCGTTTGCCTCCTCGTGCGTTTTGCCGACCCCCACCGGACACGATTTGGTAGCCGAGGTCTGTGACGTCAGCCGGGCGTGAAGTTTTCCCTTCACCATAGGCTTCACACACAAACTGGCCGAAGTTCATGCCAGGATAGCCCGGCTTGAAAGTGCAAAAATGATTAAATTTTGCCCTCAATAGATTCATTGCTTCATTTTATAACTAAAAACGTCCGTTATTAGGCCTCAATGAAGGTAAAAAGTACTCAAAATCGAAGTTCAAGAAGATGCTGTCCGAGCACAATCTGGTAACATCACGTGACCTCTTTTAAGCAGAATGTATATAATTCAAGGATGTTATTACACGATTGCTGCCTAAAACATCATAAATAATACGCTTGTAACATTTATTGCTTCTGTTTAAGTCATAACATTGCAAAACGCAAAGTTTATCATGGCAGTCACGTGACCAAAGGTATAGCAGGGGTTGGGACAAGCACTCAAAGGATTTCAAGTTTTTTAATTAAATTATATAAGTTTCATGATGAAATTGAAAGAATGTATTTTTTCCTAATGAAATACAAATTTTCGTATGTGAAATATTTTTCTTATGGGCGAAATTCTCCATATAAGAAATGTCAGTGACGTCACCAGGGCTTTACTCAAAACGTCCGACCAACATCCGACCTACCTGTTTCTTATAGGTATCTTGCGTTTTGCTGCGTCCATTGGTTTTTGAGTTATCGGCTGGGTAGCTCACGTGGCCCAGGAGCCGAGTTAGACGTGTGAAAACGCCCCCTCCCCCTCAGCACGACACGGAAAACTATAACCATCAGCACGACGCGGGTTAACCCTCGCATGTGTGCGGCGTTTGCCAGCTTCTAATGTGTAGGGGGGGGGGGTCGGTTGGACCCCCCCTTGCCGTTTGGCCCCTGATCGAGCTAGAGCTTCGCGGAAAAATTGAGCGTGTTGCCCGTGACGAGAGGAAGCCGATGATACCCAATTTTAAGGTCCTAGGTCATTGGTTGACCTTCCAGGTCAGGTCAATGACCCAAAGTCGGGAAAATCGGGACCTGTTAGAAAGTCGTAAAGTGTGGCTGCTAAGGGGTTTTTCGGGGTGCTGATCACGAATATCGTGTTAGTTTTGATCACAGATGATGTCTTTAAGCATTTAGACCAGGTCGGGTCAGGTCAGGTCAGGTCAACCAGTAGGCGTCGTGACGGGTATTCGTAGTACGTGTCAACCGCCTCTGACAGCTTCGTAACATGTTACGAAGGCACCAAAACTACTTCGTAAATGTTCAAATGGTTGCTAAATTCGAATTCAGCTCCAAAAACTAGCCTAGAAACATGTACAGCTCAAAAAAGTGAACCGAGGTCACCCGAGGTCACCAAAGGTCAATGACCTGACCTGACCTTCAGGTTACCTTGACACCCACCCTAATGCATGGAAGCAACATCAAATCACATGTTTGAACGTTTGAAACCACGAAAAGCTCGCAAACGCGCGGCTAATGCAAGCCGACATACGCAGAATCGCGATTCCGGCCAAACATGGTCTCGGAAAAGAGGTCACAGGTCAAAGGTCATTTGGGTCAGGGTCATGAAATTTTCAGAGTAGGTGTAAAATTGATCAATGTGAGGGTACTGAAAGTTTCGTCGCGATCGGCCGCTTTTTACGCGAGTTATTCGCGAAAAACCATGGGGGGGGTCCATCCGACCCCCCCCCCCCCTACACATGCGAGGGTTAACTTGACAGTTGAGCTTATCCGCCCCCTTCTAACCAAACGCTCATCCACTGTTTAAGCCTGCGTCAGGGGAGCTGAGGACGCCGAGACCCCGGACCTGGTGGCTGCCCTGGCCCCTGAGGCAGATTGATGCCGAGTTGCATGCTATCGAGGACATCAACGATGTACCTATCCGGTCAATTTTATTTCGCCGCCGACCTGAATATTACATATATGGATGGTGTTGGTCTGGCAGGGGGTTTGAGTGACTTTCTCTGTGGCCATACGTACTGTTCGCCAGAGAGCTACAGTGGCGTCACAGAAGGCAATATTTTTATTATTACCCCTTCCCACACAGTATTCATTTTATTACATGACCGGTGTTGGCCCACCCCAACACGCTGATAAATATCGTTAAATATGTCGACGATCAGAAGAAAAATGACAAAAGATTCAGACGCGCGGATTGCTATTGGCAGTTGTCGTGCACTAACAAAAATACCTATGTAATCCCTCAGAATGAATAATATATTGATGAGAAACCGTCAAGTGCCCCAAGGTATGGTTCCGTTTTTGGTGAATATACTTATCAAAAAAACGGACGCAGAGTCGCGATTTTGGCAGCATCGTGTTCGCCTCGCTCAGGCGCGTCGAATAGTATGCCTACTTTTTGTTTGGGTGAGGTCAACTTAAGGTGTTGACCTCAGGTCACGGTTAGGTCAGCGCCCCCAGGTCACGACATTGGTCGAAGTAGGTGATATCGCGTATCATTCGATTTGGCAGGTCTTCCTGAGTCCATTTGTTGCTTTTCCGACTCGCTAGCTCAAATTGATCTGGAGTTATTGGCGAAAAACTAATATGACCCTAATAAACCCTAATAAA